GAAGCAAAAAAAAAAAAAGGAAGATAGAGCAGAAACATAAAATCTAACAAGCATGTAATTAAGAGCCCAGGGGAAAGAGAAATAAACAATATCTGAAGAGATAAGCATTGAGAATTTTTCAAAACTAAAGAAAGGTATTCAAGAAAATTCAAGATTCAAGAAGTCCTACAAATCCCAAACAAAATAAATGAAACAAGTTCCACACTTGAATGTATCACTTCAAACCTCATGAAAAGTCAAAGATGAAGGAAAAAAATCTTAAAAACAGTTGGGAACTGAATTATCTTTAAAAAGAACAGGAAAAAGAAGAAAAGGAATTAGACATTCAACTGACTTTCCATTAGCAACAGTGGAAACCAGAAGACAATAGGACTACTTCTTTCATTTCTTTTTGTTTTTTTTGTTTGTTTGTTTTTTGTGGAACCAGGGATTAAACTCAGGCCCTCGCGCTTGCCAGGGAAGCGCTTATTCCACTGAGCCATCCTCCTGGCCCCACTTCTTTCATTTCTTAAAAGTATAGTTGTCATCTGAGTCTTCTCTCTTTTATTGTATGCTTTGCCACACAAGTTTTTCATAAATAGCAGAACAGGATGCACATATAGGCAGTCTGTCTTCAAGATCTGAGTTGCATCAGGTTACAAGTTACAAAGGTTGGCTTTTCCTACAGGCTATGTAACCTTGGGCAATTACTCTTCTCATTTTTCACTGCTGGAAAGATAGATTTTTTAAATGTCTATCTAACTGGGCATGGGGGCACACACCTGTAATCCCAGCATTCAGGAGGCTGAGGCAGGAGGATGGCCTCAACATAATGAGTTCAAGGCCAGCCTGAGCTACTAAGTGAGCGTCTGTCTCAAAACAACTAAAACTAAAAATAAAATGTCTGTTCAGCTGCTTCACAGGAAGGTGGAATGACAAATGTAAAAGAGAAATGAAGGGGCTGGTGAGATGGCTCAGTGGTCTAAAGCACCTACTTAGAACAAGCTAAGCCAAGCACAGGGACCGCGGTTCAATCCCCAGCACCCACATGCCAGCCGCCCCGCCCCCTGGCGGGCTGAGCTGGCCACACACACAAAATTAATTAATTAATTAATTAATTTTTTTAAAAAAAGAGAAATGAAAATGTAGAAAATATTTCAACAAAAAGATTTACTAGTTCAATATTCCATTGCTGAACCATTTAGAATTACACATTTCATATTTTAGAGTTCTTTGAGATTTTTCAATATTTGCATAGATAGACTTTACAGGTTAAACATTCTGCAGAATGGATTACCTTACACTTAGCAACTTAACACAGCAACAACTAATTATCATTCATGATTTTATGCCTTGGTTGAGTAGTTTCTCATGAACTCATATCCTGAGCTACACTCAACTGTAGCACTGCTTTATCAACCAGGGTGATTGCCACCCCACCCCATCCAGCACATTTAGGAATGCCCAGAGACATCATGAGTTGGCACTGCTGGTATCTACCAGGGAGAGGCCACAAATACTACCAGACATCCTTTTGCCCACAGGAGCACCACCACAAAGAGTTGTCTGGTAGCAAATGTCAGTAGTGCCAGAGCTGAGAAACCTGAGCTAAAAGATCTACTGGGGCTGGAAAATTCAAGACGCCATCACTCACGTATCTAGCAGTTGGTGCTGGCAGTGGGCTGGGGGTCTCTGGCTCTCCTCCGTGTGGCTCCTTATCTTCCTCTGACTTTCTTCATTGTGGTCTCAGAGTAGATGACCAAAAGGGCAATGGTACAAGCTGCAGGGCCTCTTGAGATCAGGGCTCTGGAACTCACGCAATGCTGTCACCTTCTGTAGACCAAAGCAAATCACAGGATGAGGCCAGATTTGAAGCCCTGGAGAGCTAGATCTACCCTGCTAGGGAGGAACCACAAAGTCACATCATAAAAGAAGTGGACACTGGAATGGGAAGAATCTATGAATATTAACAATCCCCCACAAGAAATAAGATTAACTGTGCCTCTACAGTCAGGGGACATTGTTCATTGGTCAGAGGACAGCCCAGCACCAGTGATCAGTAGATGGTCGCAGACCCTCACAGCATGAGACCACCTATTAGACAGCAGATGCTCCATCCTGCCCAGTCAGCTGAAATAGGAGTCTGAGTGCAGGGTCTGGAAGTCTGCACAGTAACCCCCCTTCCAGTGACTCTGATGCTTGACAACTAACACGAGCAACCAGGTCAAGAACGCAAACAGGGCCGGGGAGATGGCTCCGTAGAATAAGTGCTTCCCTGGCAAGCACAAGGGCTTGAGTTCAATCCCCAGTTCCACAAAAAAAAAAAAAAAAAAAAAAGAACCTAAACAGGCCCAGGACCCTGGCATGAGTGTTGGTGGAGGGCAAAACAGTATACGCAGGTGTCCTACAGTACCTGAGGAAAACTGGCTATAGTTCATACCAAAATCTACAGATACCCAAGTCCCACACATAAAATGGCTTAGTATTTTCATGTAACCTCAGCACATCCTCCTGTGCACTTTAAATCATTTCTAGCTACTTAAAATATTTTATACAATGTAAGTGCTTTGTAAACAGTTAACTGTATCATTTAAGGAATGACAAGAAAAAGTTTAAGTGTTTCAAATAGAAGCACTTTTTTCCCACTATATTTTCAATCTGCAGTTGATTGAATCCCTGAATACAGAGTCAGCTGTACTCATAAGTCCATTCAGAATTTTTGTCCATGTAAAATTTTTATCCTCATCTGAGAATTTAAATTTATATCATGTTCAAAAAATTAAATGTGAATAGCCAGACATGGTGGAATACGTCTATAATGCCAGTATTCCAGGAAGCTGAGGCAAGAGAATAGTGAATTCAAACCCAAGCTAAGACACTTACCGACTTAGGGAGACTCTGTGTCAAAAAAAATAAATAAAATGAGCTTGGGATGTAGCTCAGTGCAAAGGCCCTGGGTTCAAACCCCCGCACTGCAAGAAAAACAAAGTGGCTGGGCATAGTGGCGCACACCTATATCCCAGCACTTGGGAGGCTGAGACAGGAGGAGAGCTATGAATTTGAGGCCAGCCTGGGCTAAATAGTAAGTTCCAGGCCAGCCTGGACTACATAGGGAGATCCTGTATCAAAAATAAATAAATAAGCAAGCAAACAAACAAACATGACTA